TCTCTGCTATAATTTGTTCCATATCCCTTCTGCCCCCCTCTCTCTCTTTCTTCTTTTTCTGGGATCCCAATTATTCTAATATTGTTTTGTGTTATGGTATCACTTATGTCTTGAATTCTGCCCTCGTGATCCAGTATTTGTTTATCTCTCTTTTTCTCAGCTTCTTATTTTCCATCATTTGGTCTTCTATATGACTAATTCTCTCTTCTGCCTCATTTATCCTAGCAGTTAGACCTTCCATTTTTGATTGCACCTCATTAATAACCTTTTTGATTTTGACTTGCTTAGATTTTAGTTCTTTTATTTCTCCAGAAAGGGTTTCTCTAATATCTTCCATGTTTTTTTCAAGCCCAGCTAGTATCTTGAAAGTCATCATTCTGAACTCTGGTTCCAACATCTTACTAAAGTCCATATTGATTAGATCCCTGGCATTCGGTACTGCCTCTTGTTTTTTGTTTTGTTTTTTTTTTTTGAGGTGATTTTTTCCATCTTGTCATTTTGTCCAGAGGAGAATCAATGAATGAGAGAACAAAATGCTAATGGGGTAACAACGTCCCCAGAAAATATACACTAAACAAATCAGAAGAGACCTGAAACCAGGTGAAAAGAAAGGGAAAGAAAGACAAAAGAAAAAGAAAAAGATAAAAACAAAGAAAAATAAAACAAAACAAAAAACCAGAATATGATCAGATATCATTAGGCTGGTTTATAGATCAGTGCCACACACTAGATTTGGGGTGTATTTTGGTCTGTTAGATGAAAGTACCTTCCAAATTTTTAAGGAAAGAAAAACTTATATATATACAAAAATAAGGGTTAATACGATGAAGGGATGGAATATGACTGTGAAGATGAAAATTATAAAAGATTTTTTAAAAGGAATTGATAAGAAGTTGGTTGAAAAAGAAAGAGGATTTAAAAAGAAACAAGGAGAGAATGTGATCAGGCAGGAGACTAGAACAAAGTCATACACTAGAGATTTAGGGTATATTTTGATATGTGAGAAGAAAGTGTATGCCAACATTTTAAAGAGAGAACAATTTATATATATATATACCAAAAATAAGGTTAACTATTATGAAGGGATAGAATATGACTCTAAAAATAAAAAATAAAAAAGATTTTTAAAAAAAAGGGATTGAGAAGTTTTTGGTTGAAAAAGGGAAAAAGAAAAATTCAGGAAAAAAAGAAACATTAAAAAAAAATACATTAACTTTGAAAGACTAAAGAATCATGGGGAAACAAGCCATGGATTCTGTGTGCAGTATTCCCTAGCTTTGGAGTTTTGCCGTTCTCATTGATCGGTATACTTGGTCTTGGCCGGCTGTTCTTGCTGATCTTCTTGGGGAGGGGCCTGTTGCTGTGGTTCCCAAATGTCTTTGCTGGAGGCAGAATTGCCCTGCCCTTGCCGGGTCTGGGCTAAGTAATCTGCTCAGGTTTGTTCTTGAGAGCTTTTGTTCCCTCCAAGCTTTCCGTACAGCTTTGGAGGCGGAGAGTGAAAATGGCGGCCTCCCAATCTCCACCCCGGAGGAGCTGAGAACTCGGAGCCCCACTCCTCAGTGAGCCCCCAGAGAAAAGCAGTCAGTCACTCCCGTCTCCCTGGTCTCCGGCCACACTCCGTGCTCACCCAGCCTGTGACCCGAGCGTTTCTATGTCTGGTACCCGACCCCGTATGGAGTCTCTAAACCCAGCAGATCCCTACAGCGCACTCCCACACTGCTCCTCCCAGGGGAGGAAGTGGAGTCTCCCCGGATCTGCTCCTTGTTGGGTTGCTGGCAGAGGAGTAGTGGCCCGTCTGTGCTGCAGATCACGGTTTATGGCAACCCCGAGCTGACAGCCCGCTCCTCTGCTCCGTCTCTGCAGCCGGCTTCCCCACTCCAATACCTGGGAGCTCTGCCGCACTCAGGCACCCCCAGTCTTTCTGTGACCCCAAGGGTCCTGAGACCACACTGTCCCCACGAGGGTTCCACCTCCCGCTTAGCCATTGGAGCGATATCCCTCAGCAGAACCAACTTCTTAAAGTTCGATTTTGTGCTCTGTGGTTCTATCACTTGTCGGTAGCGGCTGATGGAAGCTCCCCGCCCCGCCATCTATCTTCCCAAATATTGCCTCGGATTCACTTCTCTGAACGTCCTATCTTCCAGAAAGTAGTCGCTTTTCTGTTCAGAAATTTGCCGCTATTCTTTTCTTTGATCTCCTGTTGGGTTTGTAGGTGTTCAGAATGGTTTGATCCCTATCTAGCTGAATTCCTGGGACCAGATGAAATTTTGGTCTCCTACTCCTCCACCATCTTTCTCCTCCCCCTTGGTGTCTAGTCTTGATGGGACTGTCCCTCACCTAAGGGAGGAAGATGGTGGCCATGAAGGAGATGAAAAAGTCACTGGAGTCGATCAACCTAGGATCCAACTTGTTATGAAAAGTGGAAAGTGCATGCTAGAGTACAAGCAGACTCTGAAAACTATCAGACGTGGCAAAGCAAAGCTGGTCATCCTCACCAACAACTGTCCAGCTCTAAGGAAATCAGAAATAGAGTACTATGCCCTGTTGGCCAAAACTGGTGTGCATCGTCACTACAGCGGTAATAATATTGAGATGGGCACAGCATGTGGGAAATACTACAGAGAAGTCACATTGGCTATCATTGATCCAGGTGATTTGATGTCATTAGAAGTATGCTGGGACAGACTGCTGAAAAGTAAATCACCCAAAATTTGTCTTTAATAAAATTGGCCAGAGCTTGTTTTAAAAACAAAAACAATAAAATCATTCCCATCTATTGAGCATTTGTTATGTAAAAGGTATGGAACTAAGCAGTTTATATACTTTATTACATTGAATCCGCACTAACCCATTAGGGGTGGTCAGAAGTTAAAGGAGAATGAATAATGTGGTAACAATCACACTTAGAAGGTGGTTTCTGGAATTTAAACCCCTTCTTGGGGATTCCAAAGCCAGTTATTAAGTACTATTAAGTACTATAAATTTAGTGGCTTAAACAATATAAATTTATGATCTTATAGTTCTTTAGTTTGGGAGTCTGACACAGGTCTCACCAGGCTTTGTTAAGGTGAAGGCGGGTTTGGTTCCTTCTGTAGGCTCTGGAAAAGAATCTGTTTCCTTGATTTTTCTAGCTTGTGAGGGTCATTTGCCCTTCTGGGGTCATGAACCCTTCCTCACATCACTCTAACTTCTTGTTTTGACCATTACAGCCCCTTCCTCCTTTGATTCCTGTTCCCTTTTTCCTATAGGGATCATTATGATTACACTGGGCTCACACAGATAATCCAAGATAATCTTCTCCCATTTCATGATCCCTAATCATATTTCCAAAAATCTCTCATTTTGTATGGTAACATTCACAGGTTCTGGGGATTAGGACATGGAAATATTTGGGGAGCCATTACTGAACCTACTATAAGCTCCAATTTTTTTTTTTTCATTTTCAATACCAAAGAATTATAAAATCCTATAGTTGACAGTTGTAAGATAGTGTGGAGTTCTTTAGTTGTTCCTGAATCCTGCCTATATATTGAACCCCCTCTTCTACTAGAGGTAACTTTCAGCATAGGATTGCAATTCTGTATGTCTCTGATGACCTAAATGTTGTCACTCTGTCTGGATCTATTTTCTAACTCTTTTCTTGTGTTGAGTGATTATTCATGTGTGGCCACTCAGCATCACAACTGCTTCCTTAAGTATAGGTGTGCCTTTTATTTTTTTAACTGTTTTAAGCTTGTTTACTCTTTTCCAGTTAACATGACTCCCCACCAACCCCATCCATGCTATTAATGCAAATACCATGTCGGCCCAGCTTCTGCAGAAGCTAGTGACTTTGCTAACCAAATGCAGAACTTTGCAATCGTTTGGGTCTTAAATTTATAATGAGAATTCTCAAATGGGCTTGATGCTCATTACCTGAATTTACTCCACCCCTCTCCAACAAAAAATAACAAAATGAATTTCTGTTCTTAGTGATTCTGTTTCAGCTTATAAATTATCTTTAACTTCCTTGTAAAAGACAGGAACTATATCATTGTTTCCTCTGAAAAATATCAATCCAGTATTAACTTAGAGAACAGATACCAGTCACATACCCTGAGGCCAGTGGTATTTATCCTATTTCCAAGGGATCATGAGAGAAACAGCACTCAGTTTGCCAACTTTTGATGAATCCTTTGTAACTCTTGCTGAAAGTAACCCAAACCCACATCTTTTGTTCTCTGTGTATGATTTGCTAGTTGTTCCACGTGGTTAATACTAAGGAGCTTTTCATTCACATCTAACTTTGAAAGGATACACATGGACACACATACACACTCTCTCTCTCAATGAATGTGTCAGTCTTTTTAAGTTGACTTCAGTGTCTAATTCTGCCAAAATAATGGGTTTCATCTAAGACCCACATTTTAAAGAAGTAAGACCCACATAGCAGATTGAGAAAAAAATATTAAATACTTTCCATGTACATTACTAAGTATTTTAGACTGGTTATCATATAAATTAGACATGACCAGCAACAAATATGTTTAAATGCAATCAATATCCAAGTACATGTTTAAGTAAACTTTTTTCTTCATTTTTTAATCCTCTTAGATTTCCTTTTAAAAATGTATTATTTTTGAAATGGTTCTTTACTAACCACATTTGATAATTAAGTGGAAACTAAAATAATAATACAATTTAAGATGGTCTCTGGGAAAAATGCATTTAATTTTCTCCACAAGGGGGAAAGATTAGCATAAAATACTAAGAAATATTGAGAAATAGAACTGTTCAAAGGGGGAAGCAGGTCACCTTCCCACCTTCTCTAGTAAGCATCCACAGGCCATAGGGATGAGCCACTCATGGGTTATCCATTGCCCATCAAGGGGGGAGCCTATTAAACATGGGGTTATCTACTAGCTACCTTGCTCATCAGCAGGTCTCCAGACCATCACCGAAGGCATAAGAGGTAGAAGGAATCTCGATTATAAAATCTGGCATTTTCTTGTCTTCCTCAGGGAGTGCAGGCACCCCAGTAATGTTTAACAAAAATGGGGATGCACCTGGGCGTTATGACATCTTTCAGTACCAGACCACAAACACCACCAACCCTGGTTACCGTCTGATTGGACAGTGGACAGATGAACTTCAGCTCAATGTGAGTACTAATTGTTCCTTTCCCTTTGCTTATGTGATGAACAGACAGACTTTTAATATGCTCAATTAGGCAAGCGTTCTTGTTTTTATGTTTGTGTGGATATATATGTGGGCATGCATCCTGTTAAAATCATCTGCAAGGATTGATAATCCATAATAATATAAGAGTGATAGTGATGATGATTATGATGATAAAAATGTGCTTTGAACTTGTGCTGGGCATTATACTCAGCACTTATGTGAATGATCTCATTTAGCCTGAGGCTTGAAGTGCCTAACAAACAAGTTACCCGCTAATACTTTAAAAGATCCTTCTCTCGGTCAGCTTTTCTTTCTTCTTTCTTTTCTTCTTCATATGGTGATGTATTTTTTTCATTTAGAGCATTTTAGTGAGTCACTTTAGTTTTTACTGAGATTCTCTGAGTAATTGCAATGTTAACATCCATAATCTCTTCCTCTTCTTGTCAAACATGACCTTGAGTAAGCGGCCACTTCCTTGTGGAGGTTAGGTCAAAGTGCACCAGCCAGAGACCATCAGGAGCTCATCTGTAGTCAGACGCAGTTACGTTTATTTAACTTTTAGTTGCATGAGGAGAAGCTCCTGCCAGCAAAACCTCTTCGTGATGAAGGAGTTTAGATGTCATTTATTATATGTTTGGGGCTAAGGTGGGTGATTTTCAGGAGGTTTAGGGAAACTAGGGCTAGTTTTGGTTTGGGTCCTCTTAGAAAATAGACACAAGTTGATGATAGTACAGCTTGGTGATTTTTGTGTAGGGGAAGGGAAGATAAAGGCTAAGCAAGAGTTGTCACTTAAAAAAGAAACAGTAGGCACTTTAGAGAACTGAAGAAGGGACATATTATATTTGTGGTTGCAGAGTATCCTTGTTTCTGTCTGGTTGCAGACCCAGTTGTGGAGTGGCCTTGTTTTTTGTCTTGTTCCACCATAGTCATTGAGTGGCTTTGTCTGATTTTCATTTATATTCTGCTGAAGTTGTTTATGTTCTGTTTGGAATGTGCCTGCCTCGATGTTAGCTAACAGCTTTCTGGCCATTTAAAAAAACTTTTTTTTGGTTTCTTAATAGTTCAGGTTCAACATTCAACAGTGTGCTTCTCATAATATTTACAATGTCCTACTTGAAATTATTGTTAATTTAAATAAATCCACCAATCTTTACAGGTAGTAAAGAGCATGAGCTAGGGTACTTCCACCCTGGCTGGGCCAAACCTAGCTGGAGCTCAGCATCCCATGCTTCCCATGATTTTCCTCCTCTCCTGGAAGGGATCTTAAATAGGTCAGGCCCTAGCCTGGTGGTTGGGGTCCTGGAACCTAGTGCAGCAGAAGTTGGAGAAGTAAGGGTATTGTGGGGCCTCTGTGCTGAGTTGTACTCGATAGGGTTACACTTCAAGAGGCTCTGCAGCAGGTCCTTTCCTGCAGTGGCATGGTGGCTGGCTACATTGGGCAAGCTTTATAAATTGGGTAGAACATCCCGGCTTCATAAATATTATAGTATATACAGGCACATGATTTTCTTTGGTCCAGAAGTTTCCTGAATTACTCTGGGTTCCTCAGAGAAATGGGACCAATAGGATAGATGATAGATAGCTAGACTATAAGGAAATGGCTCATTCAACTATGAAGGATGAGAAGTCCCAAGATGTCTAATTGGCAAGCCAGAGACCCAGGAGAGCCAAAGGTGTAATGGTGTAAGTTCCAGTCTGAGTGTGTGAAGTCAGGGGAAGACTGATGTCCCAACAGGAAGATAAGCAGAGAGGATTCTTTCTGACTCAGCCTTTTTATTGTATTTCAGCTCTCAAGTTTGTTTAGGCCTACTCACATTGGGGAGGGCAATCTGTTTTGCTCACTGTACCAGTTTAAATATTCAGCTCATTCAGAAACACCCTCACAGACCTGCCTAGAATACTGCTTAGCCAAATGGTTGGGTGCCCCATGCACATAAAATGAACCATCACAGGCCCTATCCCAGAAAATTCCTTCTAATATATCTTACAAAGCTGGGAATTATGCTGTTAGCATTTACCAGTCTATACCTTTAGAAGGCATTTTGGAAATTATTGAGAGAAGGGCTTCTTGAGAGTAGAAAACAGAATTAATGTCATAGCAGTGGAGAGTTTGGGTCATGGTTTCGACAAGAGGATTGTTCATAAGTGGGGGGTTGGTGAGGCCACCACAGGCCAGTTACCTTATTTGCACATTGCTCTGGCCTTGCTGTGTTTATACCTGTCCAGTTCTCCCTCCCCTGAGATCTCCCATCCAAGTGAGCTCACACAGTGATTGGGTCCAAAGGATTGTGATCCGGCATCCAAGAATGCATGGAGCCAGCCAGCCACTGCCAGCCATGGCTGGGATGAATGCTGAGTACTAGAAGCAAAGAAAAAGCTAAAATTATCCTGAGCTTAAAGCATACTAAACTTGTGAGCAAAAAGAGAAAATAAAAGCAAAACAAGCAAATAAAGTTCAGCAGGTAAACTCGAGGGGTGGTAATCAAAAGCAGAATCAAAGTAGCATAACTTGGCTGACATACCCAAAGTGTGTTTTGAATGGGTGTTGCCTGTGGGATACAAAGATGGATTAGCCAGAACTAAAGGTAGAGAGAATCAAGGTCTGTGCTATCCATGTGAACTGCTCAGGACTTATTGTAAGACCCACAAGATTATATAGTGCATTAATCTTTGCTAGCATAACCCTCTGCACCAGTGTTAAATCCCCAGCATGTGTAATTTGTCCATGCACAAAAGAATCCCAACCACGCTTCATACCAACTCCAGATATTACCTGGGAATTCTTAAGCCCACAATTTTTAATGACCAACATCAACACCATTTTTTTAAAATTTTGGTTTGTATTTTATCCTTCATAGGAATTGCATTTCATTAGCCATTTAACAGGTTTTTGTTTGTTTTTAATGCACCTATGATGCATCTCAGGAGGCAATGGGTACACAGTGTTGGAAGAAAACAAATGTGGTCCCTGTTCTAACAAAATTGATAATCTAGGATTGGAGGTGCATGATACACAAGTAAACGGATGTATATATGGAGATTCGAAAGTGTGAGAAGAGTCATGGAGCAGGGAGAATGATGGAAGTGGAGAGAGACCTCCCAGATGAGCAGCCAGGACTGTGAGGAATAGGAGGGATCCACCAAGCAGGTAGGAGGCTGCCCTAGCAATGGCGTGACTAAGGGAGAGGAGGATGGGTGGTAGGAAAGGTCAGAGCCATTGATAAGACACATAGCATGAAGTCCTTTGCAGGCTATGCTAAAACATTTTTAAAATTTATTCTGAGTGCATTTAAAAGCCAATGAGAAGTATTAAACAGGGGAGTGACTAGATCAAATTTAGAAATAAATTATTTTGTCTGCTAGGAAGGTAACGAATTGGAAGGGGCAAGAGTGGGAGAGGAAGACCAACTGAGAGTTGATTTTAGCTATCAAGTGAAATAGGATGGTTAGTGAAGGGGTTCTCAAACCTCAGCAAGTAGCAGGATCATCAGAGCATTTGTGAAAACACAGATTGCTGCCCCGCACCAAATGGGTTTCTGATTCATGTGGTGTCTGTCTCAACCGGTTGGGGGCCCCCAAATGTGGGGCAGCGATGGAGTGGAAGCTAGTGGTGCCTGTGGGGAAAGGATTTACCCGAGGCAGAACAAAGGCGATAGAAATGTATGGAATACACCACAAGGTAGCCATGGGAAGGACGGCAAAGGAGAAACTGCAACCACGCAGTGCATGGGGGCTGTTTTTAAAGGAGGAAGGTATGGAGGTATGGGGACATAGGGAACTGTGCCTGGTGGTAAGTAGCCCATTAGTCAATTAGGGCCAGTGGCTATCTTGAGGTAGGTACCCTGATGGGCCTGTCAGTATTCAGCCAGGGGGTCACTGTGGGCCCCTTTGTCTTGATCAAGTTTCTATTGCTCAAAACTGTTGTCTGAAAGCGGCCTCTAAGACCCAGAAGGTCTCAGACTGGGAGGAGGCTCAAATATCTGCCTTTCTAAGAGTCCCTCTGTAAGGCTGATGGCACTTTGAGATCCACTGGCTTAGAGAGTGTGCTGATTGTAGTGCTGTAATGAAGTGGGTAGAAACACGTGTGTGGATAACACATAACATATACATGTCTGTATATATTTACACATACATATATTAGAGGAAGAATAGGATAATGTAGTGATGGATTCAGTGCTGGAATTAAAGCAAAAAATAAGATTCAAAAGGTGAACCCCATGTTTACGGCTTGAGAGGCTGTGTAGATGATAGCCACATAAGATTAGGAAGACTGCTTAGAGTGGGCAGGAGAGGTGGGTAAAATTGAGAATCCTGAGTTGGTGCTCTTAAATGTATGAGAGCCAAAATGAACTGGATAGAAGTCTGAAGCTCAGAAGACAGTTTTGGTCTACAGTTATTAAAAAAAAGAAAAGCCAGTTAGTTGTTAACCTATAAATAACATTTAAATCCATTAAAGAAAGAGAAAAGAGAATAGCCAAGAACCCAAGATCTTGAAAACCTCATAGGAAATGGTATAGTTCCTTTCTAACTACTCCAAATGTTACCCAACTTAAAATATTCTGTTTCACGAGCCCAGAAAGTTGGGCAAACATATACTTTGGCTTTTGTGTTTGTTAATGGAAGCTAGATCCGGGTGATATAGCATTAGGTGGGAACACTTTTTATTCTACTTTTTCATGCTGAAAGTGGTGTGTTATGAAGAACAGACAGGACACCTGAATTCTCACATGGATCCAGTAGTGTATGCTTGGTCCTACATGCAACCTGAAGGTATGGATGACTGAGCCAGAAAGAGGGCCATCTGTGTTCAGAATGGTGAGAGGCTGGGTTAATTCAGTTTAGGATGGCTGCTAGGATAACTGGCCTTGACAGGCCATGTCCCTGTTGATGCCTTTTATGGGATCCTTAGGATATCAGTAAGTTGACTTTAAATCACAAAGGAAAGACAAAAGAGGAGATAAGTAGAGTACCCAGAGGTAC